TAATTAATAATAATAATAATAATTAATAATAATAATAATAGAAATAATAATAATAATAATAATAATAATAATAATAATAATAACAATAGACTTATATAGCGCATATTGTTAAGCCCTCTATGAGCTTCAAATTATAATTACCCTTGTCATTGGATTAAATGCATATGGAATACAAACTCAAGCTACCTGGGGTACCGCCTTGAGCACTACTGCTTTATAAATCTTATTATTATTATTATTAATATTATTATTATTATTATTATTATTATTATTACTATTATTATTACTATTATTATTATTATTATTATTATCATCATTATTTATTTCATGACGTTGCAGCAGCTACATCAACGCATTTTTAAATTTAACCTACCAGGTACTCACTTATAACCCTAGGTGGAGAGAGGCATTGTAGACAAAGTGCCTTGCCCAAGGACACAAGTGAAATACACAGCGAGGATTTTAAACCCTGACCTAAAATAGATCATAAACCATACAAATGTCTTCTAGACTTTAATTATCTTAATATTTAAAAGTATTTATTTTGTATTACTACATGGATTAATTCTAGCTAGGTAAAAGGAACCTAATCATATACTTTGAGACACGCCATTATTGTAAAGCTCCCATTCTAGCAATTGACCGTTGATCATTGTTTTATTAATAATAATAATAATAATAATAATAATAATAATAAAAACAACAACAATAACAAGGTAATATGAGATTTCAAACCCTCGCCCTGTTGTGTCATATCTGTAGTCGATACGCTGGTTGTGATTGTATTATATAGAGGTGTAATATCACCAGCTATACGTACGAGTTTTATTCACCACGAAAATCATGTTATAGAGGGTGCTATTTAAGGAAAGAGGGTGAACAAATAAGCATGAATATGCATGCTTGACTTTCCTTCGCTTTCGAAGGTTAGAAAGCAGTATTCAAACCGCTTGTGGATAAAAGGCATATGAAATTTACGGCGTATAATATACGAAAATCTCTTGGTAGAGACAGTTTAGTCGACACAGTGAACATAATGGACTATTGTAATTAGAATATCCCTATGTAGATAGTTTACGTACAGCATGGTCTTCGATAGAAAAACAGCGTTGAATATCATGGTTATTTTAGTAGTGCGATAATGACATGTGTTGCAGCATACAAACTAAAGTACTGATTCTGAATAAACGTTTAGAAATTACCGTCGTTTGCGTATGGTATTAGAATAGTTAGTAAATTTCAAATTTATTGTTTTGATGGTATAGGCATATATCTAAAACTCTCTGCATATAGGTAAAGCAAGCAAGTATAATAAATATTCATTTACCAAAATCTACGATATTCTAGCGCTGTTTATAAAAAGAGTGTCTGCCAACAGAATAAAAACAAAAACAAAAACAAAAACAAAAAACCTTAAAAACACAATTAAAAAATTAAATAGCTCATTTAAAACGATCAAAAACAAATGAAAATAAACTAATAGTATCACTGATTTACAGACATTTCTACAGAAATTTTACCAACCAATGAGTAACGCAAAAAATGTATACTCTCACTCTCTGTTATTTCACAGGGATTTTTTTTTTCTCTTTAATTTTTTTAATTGCAAAATAATTGTAAGTTAAGAACTGTGTCCGAAGTATTCGTAATTATTGTCAACGGACATTTCAAAACATTTATCATTTAGAATCAGTACTAATGGGCGTACACTTACTACAACACTCTCCATTCAAGGCCTGTGTACTCAAATAGCCAGATTCAATATGTTTTTTATACTTTCAAAGACCATGCTGTGCATAAACTCTACCTAGTCATAGGGATATTATTACAATACAGTAGTCCATTAATCTTTACACTGTCTTGACTACAAAGGCCTAGTATTTTAGAGATTTTGGCCTACGATTCGCGATAAGCACTGCAGCTTACACGACACAACACTGAACACTAATTTCGCGAGAAAAAGTCAGGTATGCATGCATATTCATGCATATCAGTGCAACAAACCTAATAGCGGCCTCTATAATTTCTGCCTTAACTGTATGGGGAAAAAATGCGGCCCCTGTGACAAAAGGCCTGGTGGCAACGGACGTAGGTGGGAAATTGAGTCTATGATAAGCTTACATATCATTCCATCGTTTAACGTCGCCAGAAATAATAATATAAATGTTTAATGTACCTTTTCTGCTTATTAACCAAAACGATCAGGATGACAATCAGGAAGATAATGAGTAGAGCAACACCCCCGGAAGCACCACCGATGATAAGAATAGAATCATTTCCTAGAAGATGAAATTTATAGGTTGTAAATAGAATGGCTTCTTTGAGGTTTGCTTGTTAATCGGTGATAAATTTAGTATATGAAATCAACTGAATTAGAAAGTGCTGAAAATCATTAAAAAAACAATACTATTGATGTAAAGTCAATATGAGTTTTATAGCGCGAATTATATAACAATATTAAAATAAAATGTGTATGACTGAATATTGTGATTTTTGCTTAAAAGGTAATAAAAGGTAAAGATACGAGAATAACCCATAACTCGCAGTATCATTGTGCTAAATAATATGCATATGATCGTGGTCCGTGACTACCCAGCTGCCGTAAAAAACGCTTTTAGTAGCTTCATGTTTACACATAATTGCACGACAGGGGCTGAAATGAGCAATAGTATCGGGGTAAACATCCCTACTTTTCCGAAAGATGCAATGGGTTCTTTAAAGTGCACATGAGCCAGATGTGTCACTAGACCTCCATTTTTAATATTTATCCAAAAAGACTTCTACCAACCGAACCCTGGGCAAGAAGAAGCGACTCAAACTTGTGCCAATGTTAAGGCTGTAGTTAGTGTCGCCCATACCACTACAGACTTTGCTACTCGACAAACACAAGAAATATTTTTTTTTATATTTGCGTTGAAAGCAGATATTGCCAAAGAGCGTTCCAGAGAGAAGTAGCTGCAAAGGTGAATGATCTATTTTGCCGATACTTTTTAAGTGTTGTGATGTTTGAGTGCTTGTAGTAATAATTGTAATTCTTTCTGCAGTGTTTTGTAGTCGTTAAAGACGGTTAGCGGAATTGTTAGGAGAGAATTACAGTAGTTTATGTAAGATGTTATGAAGGCATGTCATTTGAATAATTTGGATAAAGAGATATTTTCTATGTTCAAATTCAATTGAATTCATATTTATGTTTTACATATGAAGAAGGATAAATAATTTTCATTGATAAAATATTTATATTAGGACAGATTTCCGTTAGGCCTACCTGTTTCCATCTCTTGTGTTGCATCCGCTCCAACCGAGGTCACATGTCCTTTTAACAAAACATAGGTTATAGTTCATAATGTATCTTTCAATCTGTTTAGTTATTGATATTTACACAACAAACATCAATATTACACCACACACCCACATACACACTCCCACCCTCACTCCACACTCACCGTACATTTCTCATTTGGCTTTCCTTACATGCAAAAAGTTACTGTATTGTTTGTGAAGAGATGGCATATTTATAATAATGCTATTTTAATTATTATTATTATTATTATTATTATTATTATTATTATTATTATTATTATTAACTTTCTCGTACATACACAGTATGCCATGCGACTGATGGTAAACTATTTTAACTTTCATAAACTATATTATTACAAATGCTTGAATAATTCAATAATAATAATAATAATAATAATAATAATAATAATAATAATAATAATAATAATAATAATAGTAATAATAATAATAATAATAATAATAATAATAATAATAATAATAATAATAATAATATAAATCGTAGGCTACCCTGTATTGAATTATTCAAGCATTTGTAATAATATAGTTTATGAAAGTTAAAATAGTTTACCATCAGTCGCATGGCATACTGTGTATGTACGAGATAATGTAATCAATCGCCTGTAGGGCAACCACATTGTGCACGTTTGGGTACCGTTCCGCTTGAGTAAAGAAGATTAGTGCGCAGCCGCACGACGTGTCGTAGAACGTGAGATTATATTATAGGACAATGTTAATGCATTTCTTATATGCTTAAAGTGATGATATAATTGCAATTCAACTTAAATTTAAAAAAAATAAGTTATATTTAATTTATTTGTCATCAGTATTTTAAGGCATGATTTACTATTATTACAATGCTAGTGTTAACATAATTTTAGTGATTATGTAATTTAATTATGTGTGATTATGTGTTTAAATCATGCAAGGACATGATTTAAACACATTAAACATTAAACAACACCTTAAACATTATTAAACACACTCCCTTCAATATCATTTATAATATACGACAGTTATTTCTAGCCGTATTGCCAGATTTATCTGACCGAACGCCATCTTGAGGCGTAGCATTGTGTAATACAATTTTCCTGACGGTTATTTGGACCTGTTCAACTATTAAGCCTTCGTGGTATAGTGGTTATGACGCTCGCATTGTCAGCGAGAGGTCGCAGGTTCGAATCCCGTCGGAGACATTTTATTACACAATGACTTTTATAGGACTTCATTCGTTGAAAAGCTACAGGGTAGCCTACGATGTTCTATCATGTCCTTATTAAACACTGTATATGTACCTTTGATGATTTATATTACAGTATTATTTATAAAACAGTGTTAACGGCTAACACCCTTCAATACCATTTATAT